ACAGCACAGGGTGTCAACAGTGTGACGATTTATACATATTATGCACTTGCATGGATGTAGGTGTATCCTTCAGGCTTTGCTGTGTGCTGTGTTAATATTATAACATGCAGTAAGAAGTTTATATAAAGTTTATCTTATTTAGCGATGTGATTTTTAAAAAGATTTCACTAAATGTTTTAAACGTGGGAGGAAGCGTTTGTCTGTCTCAGCCTAACCAGTTGAACAGTATTCTATTTTAAGAGACATGCTGGTATCAGCCATTAGTGTTTGGAAGCCGACTTTGATAGTAGTGCCTCTAAAAGCCTTTTCTCCCTGAAATAAGTCATGCCAGAACCATATTGCATATTTTCTCAATAAAAGTTCTTCTCAAATATGCAAAAGTGTTTTTTTAAAACCTCAAAAATAAAGTCAACATTATTCCCAACATGAGAGCAGCGACTGAGTCTAGTATGACTGAATATTTTGTAGTATTTAGTATCTAGATGGTCCTGGTCTGTGTGAAGAGCTCAGAGGAACGTTCATTCTGATGAATGACATGTGGCTGTAATTCATCGTCTAATTTAACAGGGTCAGAAAGAGTTCATATTGGTGTTTCTACAACATGAACATCTACTCATCACACACATGATCTGTACAACCGACCGGATTTTATTTGGGAGTGTTTTCAAGTCTTCACCGTGTCTTTGTGGTAAAAAGGCCTGAGGCTGTCTGAGCAATAGAAACAACTAAGAGCCTGCCAGCACAGAGATAGTTGTGCGCACACTTCTCGAATCGAGCTGCCAAGTTGCCCGACAGACAGGTTGAATTTGTATGCAGTGTGTGGATTGTTTGTGTAGACTGTGCTTCGAGCTGATCTGGCAGCTTAAGTGACATTTATGAAACACACAAAGCTTTCCAGCGCAGGTATTACAGTAATCATCATCAAGTTTAAGGAGGTTAAATGGAAGAAACTGGAGGCCACCAGGAGACTGACTTACAATATGGGACTAATGTATATTATGATGGTGAGTACTTAAAACACAATCTCCAAATTAAAATCAATAATATACTAATTAAAGCACAGCGGAAAATAAGGCTCAATCAAACCTTGGTTCCTTGGTTCTTTGACACTTCCCTCCTGAGTGAATCATCACATTTGTTTCCTACCAATATGGTCTCCATTTTTTGGGTAGTATACTAGAAGAAAACAACAAAAACTGAAGTCAAGCACAGGGATAGTGGACTTCATCATCCTGTCAGTCACTCTAACCACTGATTGTTTAGCAAGCAGCTCAAGTTCAGTCAGCCAGAACACAAATACTGGACAGCTGCGAAGGGCAGCGAACAGAGTGCTTATTGCCTTACTTCATCCACATCACTGACCCACTTGGCTATGTGCTTAAAGGACAGCTTGTCTGTGACGTCGTAGACAAAGATGACACCCTGCATAAAAAGTGGAAAGAGGACTAAGGAATCAAAGCTGCGTTACAGAAATCTAAGTTTACTCTTGGCTGCTCATACTTGTGCCCTCCTGTAGTACTGTTTGGTGATGGTCTGATAGCGCTCCTGACCAGCTGTGTCCCTGCATGGAGGACCAAACACATATCAGCAAAAGGGAATCACCCATGGCAGCAAGTGTGAATGCAATTAAAAAAAATGTCACTCACCATATCTGTACTCGCACCTTGGTTCCATCTACCTCCAGTGTTTTCATCTTAAAATCAATTCCTGACCAAAACAAAGAAAATGCAAATACAGATGTAAGCTGGGATGCAACCTCCAAAAATACAATCACAAACTGCCAACATGTCCCTGAGATTCCTCGGAGATACCGTTATCTAAACAGGTGTAAACGACACTGAGGGATTTCTGTGCTAGGAGACAGAATAAAGGTTTGCAACGTAACTTTGCTGGTTTCTATTCAACTAGTTCTTTTAATCTACTTCTTATTTAGTTTTCATCATGCTAGCAAAGCCAAAATCCACTCAAAGACAAACGTGAATTTCTGATCCTACACTATGTACAGTCATGTTAAAGACTCTCTGCAGTCCTGTGAGGAAGTGTACTCAGATGTACTTAACTGATCATCAACAAGTGTCATCACATCTATAAAGCCAGAAGTTATGTCGCATATCCCAGAAGTGGATATCACAGTAAGTTTAACCCAAGTTCAGTGGCAGAAAATGGCAAAAAAAACAAAAGAAAACCAACCCTGGAGCTACATCTCAGACCCTACATGCCTAAATTAGCATACGTCCTAGGGCCAGTTTAGAATCACCAATTTGCCAGCCATGCATGTCTTTGGACTGTGGGGGGAAGGCAAAGAACCTGGAAGGAACCCATGCAGGAACAGAGAGACCAACCAGCCAGTGGCTTTGAACACAGGACATTCTTGCTGTAAGAGGCAGCAAGAACCCAGATCGTACTAACCATCACACCTCCAATGTCTTTTGGACAAACCAGACCAAGGTGGAGATGTTTGGCCATGATGCACAGCACTACATTTGGCAAGAAACAAACACAGCATATCAGCACGAACCCCTCATACCATCTGTCATGCACGGTGGTGGAGGGGTGATGATTTGGGCTTGTTTTACCTGGGCACCTTGCAGTCATTAAGTCGACCATGAACTCCTCTGTATACCAAAGTATTCTGGAGTCGCATGAGGTTATTGGCCCGACAACTAAAGCATGACCGAAATTAGCAAATTCAATAGGTTCTGTTATAGTCCAATGTGCCAATAAGCCATGACACTACAACTATGACGACTATACTACTGTCGATATATCTTGCAAGAAAAGATTAATGAAAAGACTGAAGAGATCCTTTCATTTGGCTCCTGTGATGGATATTTATAAGATTTTTTAACACTAGTGGCATGACTGAAGTTAGAATAGGAAAGAAGTAGAGCAGGAAAAAAAGGAAACGTGTGATTCTGATCAATTGGACAACTTGGAATCTGTTCTCTGTTTCCTTCCATATTTGGCTCTGTTACATTTAACATTAAACCCTGAACAGTTTTTGTTTTTTTCTTTCCGTTACGCTGCCACCACACTTTGTGGAATCAATAAACTCTGTGTAATCCAATCCCAACATTGTGCTCATAAAAAAGTTTTCTGTCAGGCATTTCATATGATCATTGACCATAAATACATTTTTGTTGGCGATGCAGCTTCCTAGCCCAGTTTGAGTGAAACGAAGAGGTGCTACTGAATCGGAAAATGCACCTACTTTACATAACAATCAAATCCCAATCTCACTGTTTTCAGTGTCTGTGAATGAGCTCCTCCTGTAGCCCGTTTCTGTCTCGCCCTAAGGATGGCTTTCCTCTTTTTGCAATTGTTCACTTTTATCATGTAAGAATCTGCGTTTATGTAATATATGCAAAGCTGTCCATTCATCCTGCATATCGGTATCCTTTTGTTCCAGCGCTTCTCTCACTGCCTGATGCAGATCTAAAGGCACGGCTGGTGATTTTCTTTTAGCAATGATTTCCTCATCAGACACTATTCCAAATATCCAAATCCCATGTAAAGCCTTTCCACTCTGCATTTTCTGGTGAGACTTGACCCTGATTATGCTCCACAGTCTAACAGGTAAACAGGGCCTACCACATTTTGTTCCAACTCATTAGTATGTGACACAATCAGGAAAAGTGGCAGTACTGATATGAAGCACTAATGGCCTCATCAATCCGCAAGTTCCAATCAAGGGGCAAAAGATATAAGATAGCATATCAAATAATTTGAGAGCAGAAGAAATAATCGTCTCCCTTCCCATTTCCAGTACGCTCGTGACAGAGACGTACTTTATCAGACCTCTTCTACGTGTCTAACCTTTAATTAAGCAAAAACATTCCATCTTATACTTTCATTGTGCTTTAGCGTGGGCAACAGAAAGCCTTCTAGGCAAACTTTCCCATGTGAGGCTGTTTGAACTTGAGGCCCTTTAATCCTATAAGTAGGCCCACTTTTATATTCTGAACAAATGGGAAAGCTAAAATAAAATGCTCTGAATGTTAAAACCCTGCATCTACATTCATCCAGAGAAAAGAATTTCCCGGTGTTTAACTGGTTCAACCTGTGGGGGAAAAAACTGATATGAGTTTTGGAGAAAGCTTCACTGAAAACCTGTTGGATGGCTTACCGATGGTGGAAATGTGTGTAGTGTCAAAGTCACTTTCCGTGAACCGGCGCAACATGCAAGTCTTCCCAACCCCCGAGTCTCCGAGCATGAGCAGCCGGAACAAGAAGTCGTACTGTTTAGCCATGACCCAAAACTAAGCGATGATGAAAAAACATGCCTGTCTGATGCGGCGCTTGAAACTGGCTGCTTGTCCTCTGCTTGGGTGATGCGTTCAAGGCCCCTCGGAAACTTTCATGCTGAACTCAAAGAGCGCCACCTGATGCACTTTACAAAGGCAGATGTCTTGGAACGTTTTTCTAACATTTTTGTGGTTCGTCGTGTGCTTTACTATCACCTTCAAATATTTCAGTAGTACTTCACCATCCTACATGTCGTTCTTGGTTACGCCTGCAATTTCCTACGGCACTGGAAAGCAGCACACAACCTGCGTCTTTGAACGTTGTTTCCTGTAGAGGGAGCGTCAGGACACATCACACTGGCCCAAGTCTAAATTCAATATTTAAACAATGATTGATGTCATTTTATGTCGCAAATAAAAGTTTATATGTTCCTCGATGCTCATATTTTCTACTTTATCTCTAAATATGAGTGAAAAGACAAACACATATCTCCGTGTGTAGCCAATCCAGTCCTTGTGATCTAGGAACATTTAAAGGTTTATTTCTACCAAAGTTTCAACAAATCCTTCTTATCATTTACCTTAATTCCATCAGCAAATTCTGATTCTCAAATCCTATTAAACCTGCCAGATTATTGAATTAACTGGCTCTTTAACTAAACCTGCATTTAACACCAAAAAAGGATGCTGTTGGGGATGCCTAATGTGCAAAAATCAGGCTATTTTTTTTTACATTAAAAACACAGGAGTCACAAATTCATCCAAAATGGATAAAATAGTTTATTTATAGTTTCATAATAAAGGTATGCCTTATCTTGCAAGACAACCGTTGGCAGTATGTACAACATACCTGTAATTTCCATGGAATGGAACAAACAAATCTTATAAGGTACACACTAATTTATCTCTGCAAAAAAAAGAGAAACATTCCCAGCACAGGCAAATCAAAGGGAAGGCTTTTCTTTGCAGAAACGACACCATTTAAGAGTATACAGTGTTATATACCACACACTGAAAAGGAACTTCCATCGACAAAAATAAAGGACAATGCCTTTAACTGCATTGTGCAACATTCAATATCAATGAGGGGATTTTTTTAACCACAATTTATTTAAAAATATTAAAAATAGAGGAAAATAAATAGCTGAAACTTTGAAATATCAAGCCAAACATAATGGGAGTTCAGACATCAGATTATATAGGTATATAGATATAAGGGTAAGAAATTCTTCTTGGTGCATGACTATAAATAGAGGGATTTCTTTGATTACACAACATTTCAAAAGACAAAACTTTTAGCCAACTACACAGAATAAGGAGGGCTGCATTTTGCATAACAGACAGGGTTTGTTTTTCCAAAAGCAACTTCACATTCTTTTCTGGAAAAATATTAATATTATTATTATTATTAAAAGGTAAGGTATTCCTACCCTTACCGTTTGTCAAAAGTCTCACACCTCCACCGGATTGGAGAGGTTGACCAAAACAACCAATAGGGAAAGGTTATTTTTGTAGCTTTACTCAAGTCTTGTCATCTCCACATATATGACTGGTTATTATGAGGTCTGAAAGGCATAAAGTCCTTCAAATCTGCAGAGCTGCCTCAATTTGGGGATTTTTAACTTTGTTGCTGGGCCACGAAAGGAGTGACAGGATGCTTGCCAGAAGGATAAAAGAAGGTAGAAGCGTTTTATACATAATAGCACCTCTCTCACACACGATCTCCACCTCGTCTCCTGGGCTAGCGCAAGAAGGCAGGGCTCAGTGCGGACAGGAAAGAGGAGCTGGGGCTGGTGGGTAAAAAGAGTCTGTCTAAGGAGCCGGGGTCCACCCAAATCTAGCTTAGCTCCAGGCGCAGCTTCTTCCTGTTTGGTGTCTCGTCTGATTCTGATTCAGAGCTGGAGTCGGACCCACCATCAAAAGCGGACACGGCGCTCCCTTTGCGGTTTGTGTACAAGCTGCTATCGGAAGAGTAGTTGGTCTGGAGCTGAGTGTTCCCCTTGGCCTTCTCAAGTGCACGAACTGCAAGTTGTACACAAAGATAGAAACAAACGTTGTTTACGGCATCTGAAATTGAATCCACGTGACAAAAATGTGCGATACTTATTTAACAAGAGCACCGCTTACCCTGCTGCTCCAGCAGTGCATTCTGCTTCTTTAGATCGTCAATATCTTGCTGGTGGGTGTGGTTTTTTCGTCTCATGTACTGGATGTACTCCGTGGCTTTGTCTAGAATCTGTGCTCGGGAAGCCTGTTTAACAGAATTCTGTGAGGCCCGTGTGAAAAAGCAGCCAATAAAGTGCATGAATCTGTTATACAAAGTTCAGAGTGTGTTGCAATTTAATCTGGATTCAAATAAGAAGTTAACAAGAACTATTCCAGGAGTCAGCGACCTCGGGCAGATGGGTCAATGCTTGTTTTGTAGTACCGTATTAAACCAACAGCGCTGACCACAAATGTTGATGCCACAACTTTGCAGCAATGCAAACTTGAGCAACAGCGACTGTGTTTGTTAGAAATATGCACTGTTAACACAGTATACAGATTACTAACCAGACTGAAAATCAGTGGCAGTGGGCAGTGATCAATTCAAATGAGAAATTTCTGGTCTAAATCATCTTCAGTATTAATCTGAGGTAAAAGAGTGAGTGCCTGCAGCAATCTGTAAAGGCTCTGTCATTATTTGGACCTGCATTTCAGTCAGTGGTGTTTGGCATCCTGTCAAAATTCATGGAATTATGAATGCAGAAAACAATCATCAGATATTTTTCCACCGTGCAGCCAACAGCTTCATTTTCCTGCATGACAATGATCCCAAACACACTGCGTACCTGGACAGAAAACAACGCAATTACAACACTCTCGGTCGTGGATTGGCCTCCCCACAGGCTGGACCTCAACATTATTGAAGCAGTGTTGGATCATCATGACAGCAAATGTAACAAAAGAAAGCCAACATCCAGAGAAGAGCTTTCAATGAACTATTCCTGAAGACTACTATAAGAAAGCTGCCTAAGAGAGTTCAGGCTGTGCTGAAGAATAAAAGCCGTCATACCACATAGTGATTTTCAAGCTCATTGTATTTGTATTCTATTTTTATCTTATTGTATATTTATTTTATTTTATCCTACTGTATATAGTATTTTATTTTATTCTATTCTGTACAGTTGTGTACTGCACCTATTCTTATTGTATTCTAATTTTTGCCTCATAACTTTTGCACTGTCCACTTCCTGCTGTGACAAAACAAATTTCCCACGTGTGGGACTAATAAAGGTTATCTTATCTTATCTTATTAAAACTGTACAGACTCTGTTTTTAACTTACATACTGTACTTTCATGTATGTTTGCACGTGTTTCGACAGAATTTCCCATTTTCCTAGCAAAATATAAAGAAATGAGGGGTGGCTTTTAGATTTGCATAGCACTGCATATCTATTAACTCCAGGTTGAGCATTATCAGCTTCAGTTTCACTTGTGATGGCAGACCAGCGCAGGTACAAGTTAAAAGCAAACGAAGATAAAGCAGCTGGGATTCAACACAGTACTACAAATCAGGCTTAACAGAGGAGAAAATGATCTCCATGTTGACACAACAACTGTACGTTAACTGCCTTTTGAACTTGAATAGTATTAAATATGAAATGGACAGCATAAGCAGAAACATCACTCTTCATCCAGCATTTATTTGGCAAAGCTGCCAGAGTTTACAGAGCCGCTTGCTTTGACAGCAGTGTCTACAAGCTTGTTAAAATCCACCAACGAGATGAATGATCTTGTGAATCATTATCAGACACGTCGTTGATATTTGGCGAGGCATCTGTTTCTACAAATAACAATTTCCTCCTTCCTCTAGGCATGACAGAGAGATGACGAGCATAGGTCTGGATTCTGGGGCACAATATGAATGGTCTATGGCAATATATAGATAGTTTCCTCACCTTCTCCCCTTGTAATGCAGGCACAGAGTCTCGTAAACTGTGAAAGCTGTCTTTAATGTGGTCCCTGCGTTTACGCTCCAGCGCATTGTGATGTGCTCGCTTGTCTGCCTGCAAAGGGGAGAGAGAAAGTTTAGGTCATTTACAAAAAAACTACATACGTCCGCTTCTTTAACATACAGAAGTGATTTAAACTGCAGTAAGAGAAGGCCTCATTGTTAGACGGTTATTGCGTGTATCTGTGTTAATATCAATATATGCACACAAGCAGGAACCTGTGCTGGAAGTATTTACAAGGACACGATATGTTTGCTTTCAGGGTTGCACCAGCAAATCTTAAGTCGTAACTAAAATTCAACATTAACTCAGTCTCAACTCTTCCTTTGCCTTTTTTTCTTAACACGGACTGGATGATAGATAAAAAATCCAATTTTTTGTCTTAAAACAAGGTGTTCCTTGTTTCATGAGTCACCAAGAGTCATGTAAGATCCGTTTGTGGTTAATAACTAGCTTTTAAATGTAGTGATTAGAAAAATATGTGTGACGATTTTCCAAATGAAGAGATGGGGAGAACATGCAAACTCTATATGGAAAGGCTGCGGCTAGATTTGCACCCAGGACCTGTGCGTGTTCTCCCCATTTCTCTGTGAATGTGAGCGCGAATGGTTGTCTGGCTGTCTGTGTTGGCGCTGCAAAAGACTGCCAGTCTGTACCCCACCTCTTGCCCTATGGCAGCTAGAATAGGCTCCAGCTCCCCCATCCACAACCCAGAACTGGACGGACGGGATGTAGATCAGGTAAATTCAAATATTGGTATGGTATTATTGTAGCTTTTTGCTCTTCTTTAAATTAACCTCATTCTTATTTTTTAGGGGTTTTTTTTCTCACTGTTGTATATATTTGATAAAAGATGTCTCTCACTAAGTGAGGGTTTTACTTTAACTATTAACTCACTAACTGTACTATTTTTATTCTGTATCCTGTCGCTGGACTTTGTCTTGTGAGATCAATAGAGTGTGTATCTATCTATCTATCTGGGCGACCGTGGTTCAGGGGGTTGGGAAGCTCATCTTGTAACCGCAAAGTTACCGATTTGATCCCCAGCTCACTCTGTCCTGGTCGTTGTGTCCCTGGGCAAGACACTTCACCTACCGCCTACTGGTGTTGGCCAGAGGGGCCGATGGCGCGATGTGGCAGCCTAGTTTCTGTCAGTCTGTCCCAGGGCAGCTGTGGCTACAACTGTAGCTGCCTCCACCAGTGTGTGAATGTGAGAGTGAATGAATAGTGGCATTGTAAAGCGCTTTGGGTGCCTAGAAAAGCGCTATATAAATGCAATCTATTATTATCTATCTATATCTCACTCATTACAACATGTTGCTAGGCCAGATATTAAAGTTAGTATAAAACGGATCATTTTTAATTTAGGTACTGGCAGAGATTAGAAGGAACATTTTACTTTCATTTTCTTTGTTTATGTAAGAGCAACACTACATGTCAATGGATATCAACGTAAAAATGTAGATTCAAACATGGCAGATTTGACTAAAACTGCTAATATCTCCTGAACACATCATGTAAAACTACACAAAATGCAAAAGACATAAACATATACATCAAAACAAACATAAACATAAACAAAAGACAAATACAAACAATCTGCCTCACAAAGTTAACGCTCATCACTTGAAATATGGATGTGAAATTTGAGCCTTTGCTGAAAACTGTTTTTAGGAAGCATTTCTAAACTTAATGGCTCAGTAGCGTTAGATGCTCGGCACAATGAGGGCTTATGAAGCCTTACAGTAAATGTATAGGTGGCTCTAATAGGATCTACACTAGAGTTGGAATCCATAGTTCTGAGAAATATGTGGCCATATTTAGGTCATGTTCTCAGATTCATGCTCAATTAAAACACCACATCGCACTTTGGGGTGGGAAAATGCAACTGCTTATTGCAACACGAGGAATTCAAACCTGCACGCACTGTGGGCGTACTGATACATTGGCAGAGTGGTTAGTTGTAATGCAACTACAGCGCTGGATTTTTAGCAAGAAACCACAATTTAACAGGTAACAAGGGCTTGCAGAGAAATACTGAATAAATCGCCGGGCTTATAATCAAGAAAACACAATAACATGACATGAATTCAGTTGTACGATAGGAGAACATCGAGTACTGTATTCTCATTGAGCCTCGGTTTGCTGTATTAAATGTGTGTGCATCATAGCCTGACTTAAATCACACGTCAGAGCTAAAGATACAACCAACCACGACATTTCAAGCAGCTAGCTGTCAAGTATGCTAACTATATCTAGGTAGACGTGAAGGGATTACCCTTTTATGCAACGAATAAACAAGGGCTGCATTTAGCATCTAAACTAAATAAATAGTTAAAGCATGCGTGGTATAGCCGACAGAACCGTGTTATATTTCTGAAAGGAACATTATGTCCAAGCAAGCCGTCAGTTCACCTCTCAGAAGAGCTGACCTTGTGTCCTGGAAGAGCTTAACTGCTGTTTATGATTTGTTTTATTTATGGGTTTTTTCCCCATATTTGCAATTTTAACACAGCGTCTTATTTCAAGTTTTATTGATCACGTGACAGCAGGAATACGGTCCAGCAGAACGAGTGATTTAAGTTATAAGAGCATAAAACAGCCCTCTTTATTTTGCTGAGCTGCCCCAAACAAACGACAAATGTCGTAGCGAGGCTACCCAACTTATTCACCAGTTCCGTGTGCGACTTTCATTTAAAAGCCAGCAATTAAGAGCTCAAACGCTCCCCCTAACAGCTATCTCCATACAGGCTTCAAAACCTAGTGCTAGCCCAGAGAAACCCCCGCTAACTAGCTAGCACAATCAAATAGCATATTTTGAGAGGAATGTGAGTTACTGTGTAGCTAACAAACTGGCTAGCTACTTCTAGAGGAAACAAAAAGACATACATCGCTGTCGACTTCGATGTCATCGTTTTCGCTCATTCTTCGATTTAAAAAAAGGTATGAGGGGGAAAAAGAAATAGAAAGTATAGCAAAAGCTGGAAGCAGATAATAAAACCAAGCACGGAACTCTGCTACGGCAGAGACATGACAACCAACCGCTTCTCCACACGTGATTCGCCTACACACATGCACGGGGAAAACATCTACAGCGCAGGCGCAGTAAAGCAAAGGCCTATGGTAATTGAAGTAACTTGGGCCAACACAAAGCTGATTTGCATATGTCATGTTTTTGGAGCTGAAACTATATTTCCCACAAGTCCGCGGAGTTGGGTCGCCTTCAAAATACATTTTATCCCCTACAATCACAGCAGCTTGGATATGAGAAATCTCAGTGTGGTTTCTCAAATAGAACATGATGTTCTTTGTTGTACTGTGGTATATTACAATGGCAGAAAAATGATTTAATCACCTGCTGAATTTGTAAGTTTCCATCCATCCATCCATCCATCCATCCATCCATCCATTCGCGTCCGCTTATCCTGTTCAGGGTCGCGGGGGGCGCTGGAGCCTATCCCAGCTGTCATAGGGCGAGAGGCGGGGTACACCCTGGACAGGTCGCCAGTCTGTCGCAGGGCCAACACACAGAGACAGACAACCATTCACACTCACATTCACTCGCACATTCACACCTATGGGCAATTTGGATTAACCAATTAACCTATCCCCACTAAGTGGGGGATTTGTAAGTTTGCTCCAGTAAAAAGAAATGAACAGCCTCTGATTTTTATGGTAGTTTCTTTGTAACGGAGAGAGGCAGAATATCAACCAAAAATGCAGAAACAAAAAAACACGTTACATAAAAGTTATACTATTATTTGGATGTCACTGAGTGGAATAAGTATTTAATATCCAAGCAAAACATGACTTAGTTCTTGGTGGAGAAATCCTTGTTGGTATGCATAGCGGTAAGACTTTTCCTGTAGTTGGTCATGAGGTTTGCACACATCTGAGGAGGAATTCTGGCCAACTCCCCTTTACAGAAATCCTTTAGGTATCTTGGCTGCCGTTTGAAACTTAAGCTCCCTCCACAGATTTTCTACAGGGCTGTGTGGAGACTGGCTTGACCACTCCATGAGCTTAACATGTTTCTTGTTTAGACACTCCTTTACTGCCTTTGTATGTGTTGGATCACTGCCATGCTGACCCATTCACAGCTCATTATAACATTTCTGAAGGAGGTTCTCATCTACATGTCTGTACTTTACTGTGTTTGGAGGAAGAGAAATGATGAGTGTGATCCAAAGAACATCATCCCTCTTCCTCCAAACACTTTCTCCCACGCCTTTTCTAAATCATTTAGATGTTCACTGGCAAACTAAAGATGCACCTTCTTGAGTGATTGGACCCTATGGGTGCACCATGATTTCACTCCATTATGTGGTCGTCTTGGTGACTGTGGTCTAACTTCTTTTCATATAATAAACAAGCATCTCCCTTGTAGTTTTGGAATGACCCACCTTAAGACAGAAGGTGATTAATGGTCATTTTATATTTTCTGTTTCCGAATAATCACACTAGCAGTGGTCACCATGTCACCACGCTTCCTGCTGATGTTCTTATAGTCCATTCCAGCCGTGTGCAACTCTACACTCTCATCCCTGACGTCCTTTGACAGCTCTTTGGTCTCATTCGTGGTGGTGGAGACGCTGGAATAGAAGAAATTGATTCTGTGGAGAAGCGTGCTCTATACACATAATGGGCTGAGATCAGTAATATCAGTAATTGATTGACTGATTGATTAAACACATTACACAAACATTATAAACTGCTTTACATATCATTGAGTCAAATACACAGACATCAGTCACCTTGCAGAATCTTGACTGTATATTTACATTATGATATCAGACATGACATATTAGCTTAGATTCAACAGTCTACTGTTCAAGTGGAGATTATTAGCAGTGTTGTGTGCGACAATATCTGCTCTTTTCTATTCCCAGCATATAATTATAAGGCCAGATGGTGGCCTAGCTCATTTCAGCTGCCCTCCCCCACCTTCTACCCATAGCTGTTCATTGTCAGAGTATACGAACTTCAAATAGCTGCAGCACTGCAAATATACTCCTTAATAATCAGGAATGTTTAAGAAAACTAATCCTGATTAATGTTCACATTAATAGAAATGTCTGCAATACGTGTTTCTAAAAGGAGATGAAAGTTCAATAAAAAATATATAAATCAACTGAATCTTTGTGCTCAGTTAATCTCATTGAGATTCAGATGTCAACAGGAGGATATCAAGAATCAATTATTCATACTGCAAAATACCAAAAATACCCCAACATATCAAAGGTGAAGGCTGTCTAATGTTAACATGTTGTACTAACAGTAGAGTGTTAAGAGATGAGTATCACGATAAGCTATTATGGCATATTGTGAAATGACCTATATGTTATTTATGCTCGTGTTTGACAATTTCTCCCACTTCCCCACATGACACTTCTACAGTCCTAATTGCTTTGCAGCAAATCCTCAAACACCCTCGCACTCAGTGCTTAACGGCTCGTTAACGCTGCTCATGCTTTTGCTCCGTCAGCTCCGAGTCTCTGCTCTTTCTCGTCTCCGGCCCTGGCAGCTACTAAAATAGGGAAGGCATGATTAGATGACGTTCGCCAGCTGTGACAAGAAGCCTCCCCCTGACACCACACTGTAAACCCGCTACTCCACCCCTCCTCTCCAGCCGAGTCACAAACCATACCACCACACCTATAAAGAAGTCAGTCCATCACTATGTTTCTCAGTTTTCTAATTGTGTGGATGCCCTTTGAGTTCCTGTTTCTCTTTATTAAGTGTGCCTATGCCAAAAGGCACACTTATTACTATTTCTCGGATTTATTATTCTTATTCTTATTATTATTTTCCTTTTTCCGCCTGAAATTTTACAGCGTAACTCGCCTCTCACCGCGATCTAATTCTGACTGCTCATCACCCTTTTCCCAGACGCCTTCCCCCCTTTCCAGGTGGCGTGATTGGTAATGAAACGGATCTTCAGACCAAAGGTCGTGGGTTCAATCCCACCTTGTTCAACATTTTTTTTTCACTACAGATTTATACACTACCTGTAATTTATATTGCTAATTTATTACAATTCTGCAAAGTTTTATGATTTTAGCAGCTTTTCTAATATGGACCTCAGATTCTTGTCAACAGTCCATGGCAGAAATACATACAAGTACACAGCCTGATGAAGCAGACAGAAGCCCTACCTCTGATTGGTTCAGCATTTACACCTCTTATCACTACAAATCTCAGCCTCTTCTGCTGTTTTCATTAGAATTTAAAGCTTTTCCAGAAATTCTGCTGATTGAACTCTTTTCAGCAAAATATTCAGGATTTTAACCTCTTTTCTGCCCAAATTTTGCTTATTTACCTCTTCTGCAAAATCTTCAGCCTTTTCACCTCTTATTAGCACAAATCTCAGCTGTTTTCAGAAAAAAACTCTTTTCATCATAAATTCTGCTGATTGAACTCTTTTCAGCAGAATTCTGCTCATTCACCTCTTTTCTGCAAAGTTTTCAGCCTTTTCACCTCTTATCAGCACAATTCTCAGCCGCTTCTGCTCATCTCATCACAATTGTCAGTCTCTCCACTTCATCTTTGTGGGAATCAGTTTGGCTCAGTGAAATGAGTAACTGCCTTTAGAACAGAAGGGCCAGGTTTGAATCCTGCTCAAGGCAATTTTTTTTCCCCCCAACTTTTTCAGCTTTTTTCAGCTGACATCTTCAGCGTTAAGGCATCCACACAGCATTTTCGCAGGAAATGCAAATTTTTCTAGTTGAAGTTATTAGATCGTGATATACATTAAATGCACTCTTTATAAACGCACATGAAAAATAAACTCTTGCCTATTTGTCCTCTTTGCCTCCTAAAAGTACATCTGTGTTTGTTCATTCCTTGATTTTGTTTTACAGAGAAAGAAATGTGAAAATCATTTTGTTCCTTCTATTTTCAACTTGTCTTCCAGTTTCATTCATGTGGGTTTTTTTTAATGTTTGTTCTCTTTGGGAAAGCAACAACAAGACTTACGACGATCAGTCAACACTAACACATAAAACTATTCATGAAATGAAGGCAAATGATTGAAGTGAAACGATTCATACATTTTATCTTCCAATGAACACAAGTTTTTCTCAAACTGCTGTCTGTTATCCAACTCAAACCTGACTCTAAATTCAGGAAGTCATGTTAAAGCAAGCTCAGTTAAAGTTATTCAGCTTTCTTAAGTACTGCTAAATGGTGATTTCCATCAGTAATGATTCTTAACAGCATGAATTTGAATAAGACGTTGAAGCAAAGTTAATTTATTAGAATATTTTATTGTTTATTTGCCCCTGAATGAGGAAGATGAGGCTACTCTTGTCCAGGCTTAACTTAAGAAGCAGCTGAGTAGTTCTTCCACAAAAACCCAATCTGCTTTTTCTTCTGTTATAGGCACAGCTCCTGCAGGTCTTTGTTCTGTGCTGTGAGGTTGGTCATCTCACTAAACAGATCTTCATGCTGCACCTCCAGTTTCTTAAACCTTTTCTCCAGTTCTTCTAATGTTTCTCATCATTCTTGTCTTGCAGCTCTTTGCTTTCTTCATGCATGTCCTTGTTCCTTTGTTGTTCATTTTCATGGATGGCTTGTCATCATCAGCAATTCTTCAAGTAAAGACTGCTCGTTTTTCTGAGATCGCTCCTGTCGTTGCTTCTCCTGCATTTCAGTATTTGCGCACTGGACTTTGTTGTACAGTTCTTGTAAATGGGTGTTTTTGGTCACCATTTCTTGGACTTTCCACTGCATATCTCTGCAATTTTTCTCCAGTTGCTGTTCCTCTTCCTCCAGTTCAGTGTTTCATTGTAAAATAGTCATAATTCTGTATTTTTCTTTTCAAAGTCTGGGAGGATTTGTCTTGGATCTTGCATAGCAGCTCTTGGGGTAAAACCTCCAGCTTGCTTCTTGTTTAAAAGTGGTGTATTTCTTCCCAGAGCTTCATTAAACATCACTTGCAAGCCTTCATTTTTTTTCTCATCACTGTAATTTCTTGCATTTTTATCATTTCTGCACTTTTCTCCTCTTGCATTTGTTTCATCCTGTTCTCCAGGTCTTGTTTTTCCTTGCAACAATTTTTAAATGCTCTTCTGAGGGCTTTAAATTCTCTTAAGTGAGCAGTGCTGGGGTGATCCCTTTGGCTTGAGTGATGTTGTCTCTGAGACATCTTGGTACCTCGATACAGTGACACTGTGCAAGATCCAGATGTTTCCAAAGTCTTTTGTGGTCGATGCCGAATGTTTGACAGCTACGAACAAAGCTGTGAACAAACTGACGTGTTGCCTTTAAGTTTCTCTTGCTCGCTTATGAGTTATGAAGCTGTGTGATGTGCACAACTTCATAACAAAGCTCCTTAATAAAGTACTATTTGTTAAGGAGCTTTATTTATTTATTTATTTATTTATTTTATTTTTATTTATGTAATCATTAGTTTATTTCATCATTTTATAATCTGCTTTCATTCAAATCTCTATAAAATCCTAGCGCTTCATTAATGTATCAGTCACTTGAAGTATTCTTTATTTTTTTACTCTTTATTAATTAAGAGCAGTATCCGGATTACAACCAGTAATACTGGACTCTTCACCATTTAGTGTTAGAACTGAAGAAGCATCTCACATGAGAGGTGAAACATTTTCAAGAAACTTAAAGAAGTCCAGTCGCTTTTTCTTTCCAAGTTCCTTAGGTTACTGTGTCCTGCATGACTGAGAACCTACACAGACAGGTCCTGGTAAGGAATGCAGTGAAATATCTGCAGGGGGGCTACCATGGACAGTCTGGGTCATATTCTACAGATTTAAAGGTATCTTATCTTATCTTATCTTATCTTATCTTATCTTATCTTATCTTATCTTATCTTATCTTATCTTATCTTGACAACATTTGTGTTCTGTCTAAAAAGCACACTGATAACATGTGCTGACACAAAGACCGTTAACTTTGCCAAGTAACCTCAGTGTTCTGCCTCGTTGCACAATATTAATTGCACGTCTGTTTAAATGAAAGCAAGGATGAATGAATAAAAGTGCCCCTTTGCCTTTATAAACAGATCGTTGCATTCCTTTCACATCATTGTGCCCCACAAAAGAGGATAACTTCACATAAAAGCCTGACTGAGGGGAAATCTTTGCATGAATCACAGATTTCTGGATTGCAGTGTCAGCCACCTACCATCATGTTTTTCCTGCGATCATGTGATAAATAAGGGAGGACAAGGTGGGGGGGGTAAGCACTGAGAAAAGCACTTGGACCACACAAGGCTAGCTGGACACAAGTGTGTGAGTGAGTAAACGCTGCTGCCAGTGGCCTGAAATTAAGGTAAGAAGGTGTTGTTTTTATTCACCTGTCATTTATTTGAAAAGGGAAAGACTGGCACCGATTCCAGTGTTTCAGTGTTGGATTGTGTTGTGTTGTGTATAAGACTTGTAAAAGTTTACTCTGCTTGGAACTGGAGTTTGTTTCGAATGAGAGCAACGTACACTGCTAAAAATCTTGAATTTTGCAGAACCTTCAATAAATAAAAAGGGATAAAGAGGCTTTCTTATCGTATTATGCACATTCTGGCAACTCCAGTTAAAAAATTTAAAGAGCACTAAAAACACAATGCAAACAAATAAAAACAGGATCTAGAGTAAAGCTAGCACTGCAACATGTGCTTTCTTTTTTCACAGAACTGAAAACTTCTAGTTTAACACCACACACTGTCCACATTTTTTAAAAAAATGGCTTGTTTTTCTCCCTGCAGAGAGCATGCCATGAATATTAAGTATCAGTTACTACTAGATACAAGACAACATAAGATACTTCACATGGCAGATGACAACAAAGAGGTTTAATTTCCCCCAAAAGATCCTCTTTGTGCACACCAAGCAAACCTTTGGAGAGAAGCTCTAGTCTCAAGGATTTATCTTTGACAGTGCTTTAACCACTAAAGTTGTTAATGTTCGTAATCTAGCTGGAACTTGGAACTTGCAACCATGCACTTCAAATGGATTAGCACATTTCGACAGATTGGTGCAGAGAGCAGGCTTTTGTTATTTGCCCTAATAAAACCAATTTTTGATATACATCACCTAATTCTGAGTATAACACTTTTTCAAAATCTATGTGGGTGTAGATATACACGCATAGCATTGTTTACTACAATTCATCAAATTGTTACTAATCAGTATCAAGTGATAAAAGTTACTTTTCCAAAAAATAAAAAAGAAGAAGAAGAAACAAAGTTTCAAACAGTTTTATGTAGCACTTTGACCTTCAGATCAATCTAGTGACCTTGAAGGAGAGGTCAGAGATCAAATGTGACATGATACTTTAAATCTTTATATGGTACTTTCTATATGCTGACGATACACAGTTCACTTGTAAGAATCAAAATTTTTAAGTTATAAGACCTGCTGTCAATTTTTAACCAGTAAATCGTTCAGTTGACCTTGAAGACCTTGGTGGATGTAAGCCAAATTTGAATGCGTCCCTAACATGACCCCACTCTGCACCCCTACAAAGTTTTATCAGAATTCATTTAAAACTTCTGGAGCTATTGTGCTTACAGACATATTGTTGACCTTTAATTCTGAAATGTTAATGTCTTTAACATGTTTGCATTTCCTCTTCTTTCATGTGACAGGTGAAAGCCAAATCTCAGTAAAATCGCAACACTGGTGCAAGTGCTATGATGAACCTGACAGAAGTTCATGGCGGGAGCCTTTTTAATGAAGCAAATGCATCTGACAATGTCACCCTGGCCACCCTGAACATACAGGGACCAATAAACAAGACCGTCAATATACTGACTGTCCTCAACCTTTTTATCACCATGATATCCCTGGGCTGCACAATGGAGATTTTCAAAATTAAGGCCTATCTCTTCAAGCCAAAAGGAGTAGCCATTGCCCTGCTGTCCCAGTTCTGCATCATGCCCATTACCGCTTTCAGTCTTGCCAAAATCCTGCAGATGGAGCCCATAAAGGCAGTGACCGTGCTTATCTGTGGGTGCTGTCCTGGGGGAACCTTATCAAACATTTTTTCTCTTGTTGTGAAAGGCGACATGAACCTCAGGTAAGCTGATGCTCCTGTTTGCAGTAATTGCACTGCTTTTAAAGTAAATAATGCAGTGAGATACTTTGCACATCAGTGCAATGATTTTCCTTCTTCACTTTATTGCCCTCCCAGCATTGTGATGACCACTTGCTCCAACATTGCAGCCCTGGGTCTGATGCCTTTGCTGCTGTATATCTTCTCTCAAGGCTTCACTGGATTGGAAAATGCCGTGCCGTATGCCGGCATCCTCACCGCTCTTGCTTTCACCCTGGTGCCTTGTGCTTTTGGCATCGCTATTAATCACTTCAAACCAAACATCGCAGTGATGGTCAAAAAAGTGAGACTCCCACACTCAGACACATGCCATCGCATGACTAGATTTAAGCAGGTTTCACAGCAGATGTTCAGATTTATAAGAGCAGTTGTTCTTATAAATTGCTAAAAAAAATCATTTCCGGTTTCAGGACTTTGAAAATGACCCAGCCAAAAAAAAAAAAGTCAGTGTATTATTTTCACCTGTGGTTTTTACACTGTGGCATGAAATATCTTCAAGTTGTGTTTACCAGAACTGATTTATTGCACGCAGTTTGGGTAATTTGCGGCTTACGTTACCAGCAGAGTTTGTAAAACAAGAAGGCTTTAGTGTTTCACTCCTAATCAAAACCAGTTCTTGACTACTGTAATCTGTTTTCTCTTTTTCAACAGGTTGGTCTCAGTATTTTGATCATCTCCAGCATCATTATTTGCATCCTGTCCTTCTATATTGTCAGAAATGTAATATGGATGATCCTCATGCCCGATGCTCTTATTGCAGCTTCACTGATGCCCCTGATTGGCTTTACACTGGGATATGTCATGTCTGTCTTATGCAGACTCAGTCCACAGTAAGTGAATACACACTAAGTGTTCTCCTTGACTCTAAAACAAGCAGGTTGTGCCTAAACTTTATGCTTCATGTTAAATCTAAACAGAGGCTCTCTGCAGTATATTCTGTTTCTCATACTGCACTGCTCTCGAACAATAGTCAGTGTTCTTGCACTGTTTATGCAAGAGGAAATAAGGCAGTTGATGTGTAAACTCTTACTGGAACTACTGCTGCGATGCAGTTTCAAAGAGAAAGCAGAACGTTTTTTTAAATATTGTCTTTCATGAATTGCCACTGTAAGCAGGTTTTATTTTTGCAATTTAAAATAATATTTTTGGTGAGGTAATGGCTCCACAAGTGTACGTCTGCTACTAAACTGAAAGGTTCTCATGATGTTTCGTCCTGCTTGATAGCAGCCAGCAAAAGATGGATACACAGTGGCCATAAATGGATGGACATGGCCAGCACCAATGCTTAGGAAGGCTGCGGCATTTAAATGATGCTCAGTTGACACCATGAGGCCCAAAGAGTGCCAAGAAAATGTCACTCACACCATTACACCATCACGAGCAGTCTGAAACATTGATACAAGGCAGGATGGAATTGTGATACTGCCATCCCACTGCCACAGCAGAAGTCAAGACTTTTCAGACCAGGTGTCGCTTTACCAATCTTATATTGTTCAGTTCATGCACCTGTGCAAAATGTAGTCTCAGTGTCCTGTTGGTAGCAGGCTGGAGAAGCATCCGTTGTAGTTTTTTGTTGCTGTAGCCCATCTGCTTCAAGGGTCAATGTGTCGTGGGGCCGGAGGGTCACTGTTGTCTTCCTATCGGCTTGGAGCATCAACGAAGGCATTTTACTGCCTGGATATTTTCTCTGTTAGACCATGGGTGTATTGAAACCAGTAGATCAGCAGTTTTAGAAATACTCAGACCAGCCTAACTGGCACCAGCAACCACACCACATTTAATGCTCAGCTTGATCTTCAGCAGGTTCTTATGACCATGTCGACATTCAATGTCATTTGCATTGAACATGCGTACCTAATAATATGGCCTCCATGTATTAATAAAAGTATGTTATGTTTCTATTCTACACACGCACACACACATTACAATACATTTCCCAGATACACTACCTAATTTAACCATCCCCTTCTGTGAAAATAGTGCTGCTATCTAATGTGTCTTGAGTTTGTTTTAGAACTTAGATTTTGTGCTATTTATTTATCCATAACTGCAATTCATTGCTGCCTTTTTACTGCTCTTTTTAAACCGTGTTGCTTATTGCACTGTAGAGGCTGGTGAGAAACAGTATTTCGTTTCAGGCTGGGTAACACCATACGAAATGACAATAAACTTGTTGAGTCTTCTTGAGTCTATTCAAAAGAAAAATGTGTATAGATGCAAAAAATGACTGTTTAGGAAATATTTAATTATATTGTTAGAAATCTTTAACTAACCAACAGCACATAGATAAATTAACATTAGCTTCACCTCATCTAAACATATCAATAAAAAACTACTTCACACAACTGCAAAAAACAATCATAACCACATTTTTTACACTTTGCCAAAACTACTTGTGTTCTAATTACTAACCAATTTCTGCCCAGATTTGTGTTCACTCACATAAATAATAAACATATAAACAATTTACATATGAATGAGATGTTCAGTAGAACATATATTTTACAGCAGAGGAGGATTCAGCTCTCAAATTTAAAAGATGTAGTCTCAAAAGTTAATAAAGAAAACTGCTTCACCTATTTTTAGATGCAGCAGGACCATCTCCATGGAGACTGGATGTCAAAACATCCAGCTGTGCGTTACAATCCTAAAGGTGGCCTTTCCTCTTGAGGTTATTGGGGCCATGTTTCTCTTCCCTCTATTATACATCACATTCCAGTGCGCTGAGGTCTTTCTCTTCGCTCTGGGCTTCAGATGTTATCAAAGAGTCAAGCCACCAGCTGAGGGTAAGTGTGACAGCTGCCTGCATGTTTTTCTGCAGCAAAGCTCCAAGGGGTCAGAGCAGATGCACTCACTCCACACTGTGATGTTCTGATCTGTTGAAAATGAGGTCAAACTAAATATTGTGTTACCCCTTTAATACACAGATACAGAAAAAGAGGAAGACCAGATTGTTGGTCCTCAAGACAAAGAGGCGAAGCAACCATGAGAGCATCACTGATGATATTCCAGCGCTGGCGAAGGGTACAAGGAACAGATTGGTACATCAGAGAATAAAGCCACCCAGTGCCCTTACTTTATAAATGTCATCTGCCTGTTCAAAGATCAGGGCTGTGACACTGAAGGACTGTGTGTGTGTGTGTGATGGTGGTGGGGGGGGTCTCTTCATTATTATATATCTATCTATCTATCTATCTATCTATCTATCTATCTATCTATCTCTCTCTCAGATGCGACAATGAAAAAACTGTCCAACAGCCAACTGTAACACCTTAAATTATATTTAATTAAAATGACTGTGGGATATATACAGAGGAAACTTAAATCTTTTGGTTTTTACATATATTAAAATACCATTTTCACAAAAAAAATAAAATCCATTCATCAATCCCAAGGTAAACTCAATGGACCATCAAACAAAGTGAACACTTAACATTACACAATCTGTACACTTATTTTTTTGTGTTGATCTTCCCAACCACATTTACAGTGTCACATATAACGTGCCTGCAGTAGATTTCAAAGTGAAGCTGCAAAGTGAAAATACCTACTTTTTAAGGTTTCCATGAGCCGCAGAGGAAAAAAAACAAAAAAGCAAAAGAAGCCATGGCTGATCAACAGCATTTTGGGCACAAATAAATTAAATACACCTTTTAACTTCCCATTTAGAACGAAAACAGGAATTCCCAAGCAGCCTGAATAAATTAATAACAAAATATTTACCTGTGTACAAGTAATGTGTCTGGCAAAGCCACATATAATGTCACTAAGCAGTGGAGGCATTTTACTGACATTCATTTTTAAAATTTCACAAATTATAGATACCTGTGCATAGAAGTGGAAAGCTAAGGCATTGGGGGGAGGGGTATGAGTATTAAGAGGAGAATATATTTGGAGGAATGAAGTATGTTGAATGTACACCCTGAATTCAGCAGTGTGAACTCTTGGGGAAGGAGGGGGGGAAAAAGAATTTTATAATATACAGTGAGACTCGAAAAATGTAAGTTATGATTAATCAGAAAATCTTTCAAGATGATGCTGTGAGCTTACATAACATGGACAGCAATTTATTTGACTAGCCTTTGTGTATCATTGCGACCATGTTTCATGACTGGTGTGACGAGTGGTTAAAGAAAAGAAAAGCAAATAAGACAAATTACTTTATAGCTCCTAAGATGAGTTTGCGGCTTTGCCCAGTCAACTGAAACACAATAGACAATTTACCCCAACAGAACTGAATATAAACTCCCTCAGAAGTGCCTGCTCCTTTCTGCTTTGTTCAACATTTTCAAACTGAGTTTTAGATATTAGACATACATACATAGTGTGTGAAATGTCATGAAACTGTAAGCATGTATGTACATGTGAATCCTTTGTCTTCTCCTTTGCAATGGCCAGATGAACTCTTCTGACTGACCCACAGCTTCCCTCGGGGCCTCTGTAGTTGAGTTTATCTATGTTGACAGCTGTGGTGAGAAACTCCTGCTCATCATTACAGGTTAGTCGCAAAGCTGGTTGTTTTGGGTAAGTCCAAAGGCTGCAGCATGTTTCAAGCCTCCTTCAGCAATGGAATATCTGTGAAGGAAAGACAAAAGTTTGATTATTACAAAATTTAAGAAGTGTTTTAAATAAATACAAAGACATCTAAATAAATTTAGCTTCACCATCAGAGTAATCCATCTCAGAGTCCAGAGACAGGCTATGGTGGTCGCTTCCTCCAGACGGCCTTCTTTGTGATGAAGAGGTGCTTGCTGCAGCACCTGCGTGCTCCAAAGCCCAGGTAGAGGAAGAAGGAGATGAAGAGGATGAAGACGGTGGGACGGGATGGACCACAGCCATCTCAGACTGCTGCTGCTGCTGCTGCTTGAGGGAAGAAGGCCTAGAGGGGCCAGCCTCTGGCGCTGTAGCATGCTGACCCTCCGACAGCACTATCTGAACTCGAGATTCTGAAATGAGAGCAGAAGCTCCACTGCTGCTCACGGCTTCCTCATATGAAGGTAGAGTCACCTGTACTCCCTCCACCATGATTGACACAGGCTGTCCTGACACGCCCTGATCGCGTCTAGGTGTAGAGGACAAGAACACAGTCACATTTTTATCTAGTTTCCATACTCTGCACCCTTTGTTCGTGGTCAAATTCAGGGGAATCTTTGGGCAGACTTACCGATGGAGAGACTTAAGTTTTGGCTGAAGAAGCACAAACAGCACAACCAGAAGCAGGATAAAAGCCACCGAACAAGCTGTGGATGCCACTATGGATAAAGTTGGCATCCCCAGTGGCAAAGTCGGACTGTGGTCTGTGGGACAGACAAGCGGTTATATGGTTATCTGTGCAGATTTTTTTAATTATTAGCTGAAATCCATTTTCTTATCGTCACCTTGCTTCATAATGCAGCTTAGCTTCATTTGGCTGTCCCACTCCCCATACTGACAGGTAAGATATTTATAGTCTCCCTTGAGAATGTATCCTTCATTGCAGAAATACTCAATCACAGTGCCATGAGAAAGTCTTTGGCATGGGAAGGGGTGGCAGGTGAAGCCTCCATTCTCTGGCTGATATGGACGCTGGCATACTGTTAAGGGTAGAAATAATAAATGAGTGATAGGATGACAGAACAGAAAAATCTAACGGAATTCTGAAATAACTGTTATACTGAGATAAAATGGGCAAACCATCACTATAAACACTGAAAAGAGTTAAGACCTATCAGGACAGAGAAACTTTATTCCCATTATTCATAAATGCCTTGTTGTTGAAGGTGGTGAACAAATGATCTTGACAACAATTCTTACCTTACACCTAGCATTAACATGTCACTGGTGTTGTATGTAACAAGAAATTACCATCACTGTGTATGCAGCGAGGAGACTCAGAGGACCAGTGTCCCAGTGTGGTGCAGGTGACAGTTCTGGGTCCATCCAGGAGGTAACCGGGATTGCAGGTATACTGTAGTGCTGTGCCAACTGGGAAGAAGCTCCTACTGGTGTCTGTCAGATTGGCTGAGCCATGCTGCACCATCGAGGGTCTTCTACAACCTTAAAAAGGAGATGATAAGGAAAATATAGTTGATAGCTGTAAACAGCTCAACTCCAGCAATAACTACAGGCTTTGGTCATAAAACATTTTCTAAGCTATAAAAATAGATGAAAGAATAAAATAGTTATAACAGATAGGAAAAGCCTTTTGATACAGTATGAACTGATGTATCAGCGAATCCCATTTTACCTTGCTCAATGACGCAGCTGACTGGCATTACAGTGTCCCATTTCCCATACTGACAAGTGATGAATTTATAGTCTCCCTTCAGAATATAGCCATCATCACAGAAATACTGAATCACAGTGCCATGAGAAAATCTTTTGCATGGAGAGGGGTGGCACGTGTAGCTACCATTTTTTGGCTGATATGGAGGCTGGCATACTGTCCATGAAAAAGAAAGAAATACGATAAATGTATAGAAACAGTAAGATGTGTTATGTCTTATCTTATTTTATCTGGAATAATAAAAAAAAAATCATTTTCTTTTAAGGATACAATGCACCTAAGAATTAGGCAAATTAAGAATTGCTAGGAGGTTTGTCTTTACCATCACTGCGTATGCAGCGAGGAGGTTCAGAGGACCAGTCTCCCAGTTTGGTGCAGGTGAGGCTGGTGGGTCCAGCTGGCAGGTAACCAGGATCACAGCCATAATGTAGTACTGTGCCCACAGGGAACAAGCTCCTGTTGCTGTCTGTCAGATTAGCTGAGCCATGCTGCACCATGGAAGGTCTTATACACCCTAAAGAAGGTGGTGGCGGCAGGGGTAATTTATGTTATTCATTACATTTTTATTATTAAATACAAACACAAAATGCTTTACAAGAAATTGTAACAGATCAAGAGAAAATAAATATATTTGAATAAACACAATTAATTTGAAATTATGTCTTTCGAAGACTTTTTTTAAATTGCAGGGCAAAATGTGCATATGATAACCAGAACATCTCCACAAATCCAAATCTCCCTGGCATTAATTTGCTGCACGCTCATGTTTAGCCAATGTGTTAAACTTTGAAGAGATGGGATCAATCTAAGCACTGACCAACCTTGGCTTACACAGCTGATTTCCATGGGGCCGTCCCATTCTCCATCTTGACATGTCAGGTAGTTATAGTCTCCGCTGAGCATGAAGCCCTCATTACAGAAGAACTCAATCACAGTGCCATGGGCGAACAGTCGACAAGGGGATGGGTGGCAGGTGTAGCCCCCGTTATCCGGTTTAGAGAGGGGGAGGCATGCTAAAGAGAGGAGAAAAAAAGAAGAACAAAACAACTTATCTTTAAAAGTACTTATGCAGAAAAGTACTTGTGTAAAAAAATCTGGCTGAAAAAAATATTAGACAGCAAAGTGCAACATACATAAAACTTGAAAAGAACTGATGGTTAAAAAAAAAAAAGGGTTTAAATCATGAGATAAAGATGTTAGGTAAACTGCTCAAAACACATTAGCCACTCACTATTTTACAGATCATAAAGAAAGACAACAGTGGAGAGAATATCTTACCACCACTGCGTATACAGCGTGGAGGTTCAGAGGACCATCGTCCCACTGCGGTGCAGGTGAGGATGTTGGGTCCATCTGGGAGGTACCCGGGGTCACAGCTGTACTGCAATACTGTGCCCACAGGGAATGAGCCCCTGTTGGTTTCTGTGAGATTTACCCAGCTGTTCTGAACCATGTACGGCCTCACACATCCTGGGAAGAGAGGAAGAACTCAGAAGAATTTCTTTAAAACTGCTTTTTCAAGGCAACAAAGAGTTCAGATTGTTATTTCAGCTAATCTGAGGCGATCATGACTCAAGTGTTGGCAGTTTGTCTTGTAATCGGAAGGTTGCCGGTTTGAGCCCCGGCTCGGACTGTCTCGGTCGTTGTGTCCTTGGGCAAGATACTTCACCTACCACCTACTGGTGTTGGCCGGAGGGGCCGATGGCGCGATATGGCAGCCTGGCTTCTGTCAGTCTGCCCCAGGGCAGCTGTGCTACAACCGTAGCTGCCTCCACCAGTGTGTGAATGTGAGAGTGAATGAATAGTGGCATTGTAAAGCACTTTGAGGGTGTCGAAAAGTGCTATATAAATGCAATCCATTATTATTATTATTATTATTATTATTATTATTATTATTATTATTATCTCAAATCTAAAAGTAAACTACTGTATGAGGTAAGGCTGCTTCCAGACACACTTTTTCACACCTTTTTGCAATCTTACAAATCTAATTCAAGATGATCACATGAAAACTATTTTCTCTGGATTAACAAAAGAAACAGCTGGACATATTACAAAAGAGGGAGCCGAATGTTACAAAACAAACTGAATTATTCCTGCATGACTCACTGGTAATCCTGAACACTATTAAAAAGTACCTCCTAATGATAAAGACTTTTTAACAAATATAAAGGACCTTATAAATGTAGAGCAGAAAGGCTTTTGTTCCAAGAGACTGACTAATCTCAGCTTTCCAGAAAATCAACGTGTCATTACAATCACTCTACTATGGAAGATACCACAATACTGTGTGTAAATAGAAGATTTTGGTGCAACAGAGGCAAATTAGGAAAGGTCAGTGGATCACCAAAATCTGTTTAAGCTTTTCAAGACATTCACAATTTAATTAACATATTTATTAATTAACAAGTATCAATATATGATAACATCAGTCTATACGATCCATTTTTATTTATAAACCTCACCATGAAACTGAAAGGTATAGAGACATCATGGCTGCCTTTTAATTAGCCATGTACGGGCAGACGTTAGAGGTAATTAATTGATTGCATCCCTGGTGTTTTCCAGGTGAAACTTGTGGTGATCCTCTTCAGTGTTGATACATATGAAACCAAATTATTATTTTATTTATTGCCATCATGGTTTGATAACACTTTCATCTGAGGTATAATTGATTTTCTCCTTTTTAAAAACAAAACAAAACAAAACAAAACAAAAACACAGCTTTGTATCTTTTCCCTCCCGGTCTCAGACATGGCTGAATGGTAGCCATAGCCTCTTTGATTTAAGAAGCGTATACAGAGCCTTTTTAATGTTTCCAATGCAAATTCTTCAAATTGCCTAACAACTCAAGAGTTGAAGTAGAAATTTAAGTATAATAATTAGGTAGTTGAGCTATAAAGTTAATAGGTATGCTACACAGAGCTGCTTTATTAGGGCTACAACATAATACATCTGATGACATCTACTGTGTAGTAGATGGAGTAGGGCTACTGACTTCTAATATTCACCCATTCAATCTGTGTCATGATAAACCTAATTTAATAAGTCTATTGTGAGAAAAAGATGTCAACATAACAAATTCTGTCCCATACCTGACCCCTGCCCAGTGGACACTACAATCAGAAACAGCAGCAACAGGAAGGACCGTTTAGTGGCTGAGGTGTGGGCCCAAAAGGCTTTTGATATTGACTCTATCATTCCATTGCACATCTTCCCCTTCAGAGTCAATTCAACCTGGCAGAATCAGAAAATAACATTATTACAAAACTGTCGATACACAATGCTTTAAAGGTTATCCTCCACAGCCTCTATATACTGACACCTGCTTGGTGCAGGTACACTGCAGAGCTTGGGCAGCTGCCAGCGAAATGGGTGTGATTATGGGGAAGTGCTACAATGACAGCACTGTAAAGATATTGGTATTAGCATCTAGCAGAAGAGCATTAAACAGAGAGCAAAACCAAACACTCGCTTTCATGCGTTAAATATACACTATTTAAGAAGCAATTGCTTCATCTAAATACATACGACAGATAAAATATAACTACGGTGGTTCCGTCTCAGCGATTACACACCCATTTTCACTGTTTCGTTTTTAGCATTCGCAGCTCCCTTTAATAACGTTACAGGACACAAGGCCCGGACAAAAGATGTCATTTTTACACAAATAGTATAAAATGTTGATAAGTGGGTACCGCTTGTGCTATAGCCAATGAAAAAGTATTATCCGACAAAGTATATCATCTGATTTCATTGTTACTGTAGTTCAACATTTACCGTTTTAGCTTGCTAATGCTAAATAGACAGAAACTGCTCACTATTAAACGTTACTCACCACTAAAACACGGCCTCGAAACCTCCAACGTCGCACCCTCACAGAGCAGACATGAATAAGCAATATTCCAGCTACGCCGAAAGAATTTAATTCTACAACAGAAACAACAAAATATATGATTTAACGCGCCGAGCGTTACCGCCCCAGCTAAGCGCCAGCTAGCTCCAAGCTTGACCCGCTACGCTAGCTAGCCGCATTGATTGAAGCGTCAGCTGAGCCGCCTAGATTTCGTTCAGTAGCCATAGTAACAAATGTCCATAGCTACCCCGTCAGAGGTGATTGCGTCCTTAGTTACCAAACATTTAGCGGAAAAGTCTTTGACTGTAGTTAGTTATTTAATGGTTACAAATACACCCTTGTAACTTTAGCATTGAAGCGCTGCTAAAAACACACATTATGGAAATCACCAGAGGCACTTTAGATGACATTTCCCGACCTGCGTCGAGCGAGCAAACAGCTAGCCGCGTGTCCAGCGTATCATTACCTCAAAGTGACAGAATTTGTCCTACAGCTCCATTTTCCCTTGTTGTTTTGCCCAGCGATGCTCCTGATGCTCAGGTAATTAACTAAACACGACATATTAGCATTGTATATGTCATTGGTGTGCATCTCGGAACTTTAGACTACAATTTCCTGTAGATTCCGAACAGCTCTGAAGAGACTGCAGGCCACTCATCAGTCACATGTCCTGGCAAAGGTAATAATTCCACACAGTGTGCTGTGTCGTTGACTTTTATTGACGGTCACTCACTTACAAAAATATTGGACTGCAGATCAGTCTCACGCTGATGCTTCCGAGGGACAGAATGAACATTTTAAACTGCAGAGAGCTATTGAAGAAATTAAAAGACTCGATGAGATACTGTCTGCAAAAATCTTCAAACTAAAAGAAGTCCGGCGACAAAGAAAGGAGTTTCAAGTAAAACTCTGGCAAGAGTTCAAGGTAGACACACCTTTGTATCCATTCTCCTTCCTTGATCAGTTTATTAGACTGTTTTAAAACTAAAATATTTTCATTCTTATCACCTCAAAGTCAGAAGTCGAAGTCAGCTTGATTTTTAAAAACAATATGTACAGCTCATACGCAAGAATTTGAAATTGCAATACTCCCACGGCCCTGAGTGTTAAATTAAAACAATCTAAAAGACAAAAAAAAAAAAATCACCTATATGTGTGTTGATCTGCAGCAGAATAAACCTGGAGGTCACTCTGGATGTGCTCAGGAAGCTTTGAACACAAGGTTGTTTTTGGCTTTGGAAGTACCCGAAGGTAATATTCAGAACAGCAACAAGTGTGTGGGGAACATGCAGTTCATATCATCACTGAGTCACTGATGAAGACTTTCTTATCGCCCTCTAGGAACAGATGAGGACAACAACGTTATACCTGTATTTGACACCCAGATTCCTGAACATGAGCAGAATGGAAACAACCAGCACTTGGAGCCAAGTGAGCTTGTGGAAAGACTGCAACAGAAAATACGTTCTTGTTTGTGCTTCCAAAATTGTGCACACGATGGCGCCACAGGGTCAGGGAACTTTAGCATTTGATTCTTGCATCACTTCAGCCTGCTGCAGGCATTAATGTGCTAAAGGAAATATTTCCAACAAGTGAATGTATAGCAACTGGCCCTGTGTGGCTCATAAACATTTTTCTCTTCAGGATCACGTGCCTTTTTTATGATATTGATTCCCTAAGAAATAAATCTTCCCAAAACAGCAGTCAATTCAATGCTAATTGCTCCATTCAAAGATTCTTAGGCAGATTAGCTGCTTGTTATCATAGAGGCCTAAGATGTAGTTAGTAGATTGTCCTCCTGCCTGCTATGCCACCTTGTAAGAATATTTTTAGTCTACTTCTTTACAAACTACTTATATTTGTATATTTTACTCTGGTCACTCTGATTTGAGCAGCTGCAAACTCATCATGTCAATAGGATCACAGAACCACATTTGTAAAATAACATTATCAGATTTAACTGGTTATTAGAGTCTTGACTTACTATTTCAATATTTATCTTCATAAATGCATTGCATACTTTCCTTGACAGGTAACCAGAGGCCAGACAGCTTGATCAGATCATTTGAAGAAGATTATGAAGACACTAGGGAAGACCAATTTGAACGCAGCCACTCTGGAGATTCCAAAGGCATGAATAAACAGAAGGACTTTGTCAAGAAAAACATTGAGGTATGTCAAAGTTCAGACTGGGCCAAATGGAGTACTTGGATATATCGCATGACTTAAAGTGAGTCTCTCCACTGTTGGTTTTTCCACTGAGGAAAATATTTGGTCTCTTGTTAAAAAAAACAACAACCCCACCCCCCCAATAATTTATACATAATAGGACACCACTAAAAAGAAAAGAAATGCCGGGCAAATAATGATTTTTAGTTTCTATCACAAATGTTGTGTTATGCAATAGCTTGTAAATGGCGGAGGAGGTGAAGTGCTTTTGACCCAGGCAGAGAAAAGGCGTCTGGCTGAGCTCCTCCGAGAAATAGATGAAGAGGAAGACGACCCTGCCAGAGGCGCAGACAGCAAGGTAGGCTGACAAGAAGCCCTAACAGGCAACATATGCTGTAGAATGAGTCTCTCTTTTTCAAGTTTCTTTGTACTTACCCTTTGTGTCTCAGAGGCCTTGTGCAATAGCACAGTCGGAGGAGATGATCTCATCAGCTGCCTCCTCTACCAACACGTTGATCCTTTCTGCTTTCTACATATAATAAAACATATAATTCTTATAATGACCTTTTAATACAATCCCTTCATTTTTTTAATAAATAGTTTCTTTTGTGATATTATACAGTCCTGTAAAAAAAAGAGCTTTCACAGGACTGTATGCAGCCCTGTACATACAGTACTATAATCCATGAGTTTGGAGAATCGCCTTTACCCATATGGAAAAGAAATAGTAAAAACTTATAGGATTTACTCATGAAAGTGGCCACTTTCTCATTACTTTCATACATTGTTTTAGTAAGTATCCAAAACATACAAGTTTCATTATATAATTTTCCAAGGGATCTTATATCTGTTTTCACTCTTGTATGCTTTTCATACACGTTTCACACAAGACAGATACAAACTTTATAAGATTTATATATATCTTTTCCATGTGGGTAGCAGCAAGAATTTGAAGTATTTTTTTCTGTGTGACACTATCAGTCTGTCACATCATTGTGGAGGAATTTTGTTCCACTTTTCTTTAAACTGTTGTTCAGTTCATTAAAGTTTCCATGCAGTTGTTTATTCTCAGCTCTTTTACAGCATTTTAGTTGGATTGAGGTTCTGACTTTGACCGGGCCTTTCCAACACCTTGAATCTTTTTCTTTTTCAGCCATGCTGTTGTAGATTTGCTGCTGTGTTTGGGGTCATTGTCCTGTTGCATGATCCAGTTTGGGCCTAGTTTAATCTGTCGGACAGATGGCCTCATATTTGACTCTGTGGTTGACTCAATAACACCAAGGTGCCCATGTCCACAAAACAAGCCGAAATCAGCACTCCTCCACCACCATGCTTGACAGTGGGTATGAGGAGGTTTGTGCTGTTATGCTGTTTTTGGTTTGTGGCACCGTGCATTGAGGACAGACATTGCTCCAGAAGTACTGGGGACTGTTCAGATGCAGTTTTGCAAACCTAAGCCGTGCTGTCGTGTTTTTTTTTTAGCGAACAGAGGCTTTCCTCGCAACCCGCAAACAACTCGTGCTTTTTCTCAGAGTACTGGCGCAACCTTTAATGTTTCACATGCTAACTGAGTCCTGTAGAGTCTGAGATGTAGCTTTGGGGGTGGGGTGGGTTTGCTGTAATGTCCACTATAAAGATTGTGGCACTATGATAACACACACATGAATACTACCGACCAGCAAACAGTAAAAACCTCAGTTTTTATAGAGGTACTCAGATTTGGTGATGATCAGTTAAGTGAATTTGATTAGCAGCACCTGGCTGTTACTTAGCCCTTCATTTCTATGAAAGCAGTAGTGGTGTACTGAGTTTGAAACATTCTTTTTCACATAACTGTAGGTGGAAATATATTATTGTTGTTAAAATTGTTAAATAACTCAGCCACACTTTGCCTCTCAGAAGAGCATATGGGTCAGATATCCATGTTTTAAAGACTGCTTGGCAGCCGACGGGCAGAAGATTCTGACTTCTGAAAGCGCTTCACATTATGAGCCAGATGTCAAGTGCCACATGTGGTTCACACGGAATGCTCCATGTTATCCATTAGTTTTATAATTATGTTTTCAAAACTATTCCCTCTGCCGTGTTTCAGCACAATCCAGAAGCCAGGATCCCTACAGCTGCACACACTGTGCTGATAGAGCTTAAAGCTAAGAGAATGGACCTTTTGTTTTCCTTTGAGGATTTATCTGAGACCCTGCCACCTGGATTTCTCTGTGAACCCACCCACTCCATTCTAACTTCAAATGATTTTGTTTTCACTTTTAATTTGCCTTAATAACTCTTTTGGCAGCTGTGCGACCAGTTTGAAGTCCGATGAGATGAAACCCTCTGGAATGCAAGAAAAAACACCCTACTTACCTTTAACATGCGGTTCCATTTAGTTCAACACTGACAGCTCTGCATCCGTGGCACAGCTTGCCAAGGTTTTGTAATGTCTTGGTGCTCTATTCGTGATGCTTCTCTTGACTTTTAAAACAATACTGAAATCATTTTGGTGGCAGATACCAAACTGGGGGAAGCACAGATGCTCTGAGTCTTTTCATTGGCCGCAAGAAGACTTCCTGTTATTGCAAGACATGCTATTATGAATAGCAATAACGTAGCAAGCATATTATTTATGTCACCATGACTCTGGCAGCGAAGTGTTCTTAGGTCTGAGGACTTCACCAAGTTCTTGGTAGAGTCCTTTGGGACACATCAACCAAAATCTGCTGCTTACTGTTTGCCTCACACATTGATTTGGATGTTACTGACTCCTGTTCTCACAAGCTCTGCAGTTTTGTGTAACCCGATAAATCAGGAGCCGTCAGTAATCGCAGAACACGTTTATCCCTTAGGAAAGGCCTTGTGCGAGATCCTTTCACTATATCTGGCTATAGGAAGCACCAAAGCTCTGTCAACACGCAGATTAACTCGGTCTTTATTTATCCATTTTCAGGTCTCTGTTCACATTCCTACACAGAAGCTGGTCCATACTGGAAGCTTCAGAGAGTTCAGTTTGCCCACCTTTACTTGGCAGAGGAAAAAGACGAAAAGCTCTCCATTGTGCCTCTTTTAGGCTCCTTCCATCTTGTATCGCAAATTTGACAGAACACATTAAAATATCTGTCATGATGTGAGTTTTGCTCTGGTATTTTTTATTTTGTTGGAAACATCAGTGCTGTTTGTTGGCCACGGCTGGCTGTGTGTACGAATTTTTCCTTGACTTTGATAAATACCTACAGTATCACAATGCAGCTGAAATGGTAACTACTTTCACATGCGCATTTATGCACGTGGCGGGTCAACGAGGAAATCATTAACGAAGAATACATGGGGTAATAATGTCCCGTATTCTTGCACACATCCAACACAGGAAATTTTTGAGTTCTCTCAGTATATTTTTTTCTGCCCTATAATTAGAAAGAAAATGAAATTTCAGTGCTTTAATTGTTGAAACTGGTGAGCTTTGAGTTGCTTGGATGGATTTGGGCTTTTCCATACTGCTCCCTTTAAAGGCTTTGTAGATTCCCTCCTCCAGCATCATCTCTTTTTTTTGTGACCACAGATGAAGATTCATTTAATATCAGTTAGAGGCTTCATGATCAGACAGAGATGTGCCCACTGGTCTGGGTTCAGACCTTTAAATCTGACCTCTCTATCGAGTTATTAATGTGAGTTATATATCTGTCAGTGTTATATCTGTATATCAGTGCTGCTCAGTTTAGGGTAAAAGTAAAATTCTGGTCCAAGAGCTTGTTTTTCTTCTTTATCTGTGAATTCCTCTCTTCCATGGTGAGCAGCAGCAGGATTAAATCACTCTATGCTTGATGTTTTTATGCGATGTCTGTCAAAACCTCGCATTCTGTCATGCAATGGAACAAAATGCATGCATGTGAACCAAAAGGACATACGGACCCTGTCTGAAGTCTGGCAGCGAGATATTCTGCCATATCCAAGGAAATAATTGCAGCGACTGAAACAATAGAATAGATCGACATATGAAGCACTAATTTGTGTCATAAAAAAAATTACGGGTCTCAGCTTTTACATTTTTGCGTTGTGATGTGTTCCACCTACTTAATAGACCCCAATGTTTGCTGTTTTCTTTTGCCAGTTTTCCTCCGAACCCAGTGTTCAGAGGTTACAGCTGCGTTCTTTGGAGAGTTACGATCCTCTTTGGCATGATAGTCTTATTGCGAGATCTTATCTCACCGCCGCACTGTGATGAGCTCATCATCCACACATTGTTTCCCACGTGAGCCCCACTGGGATAGACAGTTACTCTGAGGAAGATGCATTTGTCAGAGTTTGGCAATCCAGACAAAAATACCAGGACCTAAAGTTGTATCGCTCTCATGTTTTTCCTTTTTTTTTGTACTTTAATATTACAAAGTTGCTAAATAACTAAGTTGGCAGATAATGTTCATCAGTCTCTCATTTAGGTTGCCACATAATAAAGCAGGCTAACACGCACTGGACCTTGTGTTTCTTTCAGGAGACCATGTGGGCCGTGTCTGTCCCCACAGTCCAGGGTTACACCCCGGAGCCCTCTGACCTGGAGCAGCTGATTGACATTGACTCCAAAATTGGCCTTCTCCTTCCTGTGGAAGAATTTCACTCTGTGCACAGCTCATACACCAACGTAACCATGTCACAGGTAAGCCAGTGTAGTAGAGTTGTAAGGGCAATTAGGTTTATACTCTATGCTAGACCTCAGAGATCTCACCCCCGTTCACCAGTGGTGGGAAATATTATTGTGCAAGTGCAGAGGCTTTGTCTCATGTTTCCATCCAATTTTCCACATTTCCATGTACAGAGCATATTACAATGCTTTTCATGCAGTATTAGCTGCTGGCAGATTTTAATGCAAAAAGTTTTCTTACAAACACTACCAGTCAAAAGTTTGGACACAGCTTCTCATTTAAAGGTTTTTCTTTATTTTTATGACTATTTACATTGTAGATTCTCAATGAAGGGATCAAAACTATGAATGCAAAAACTATGAACCATGAACTAACTCAAAGCATGTTTTATATTTTAGATTCTTCTTAATAGCCACCCTTTGCTTTGATTACTGCTTTGCACACTCTTGCTTCATATATTTGATGTCTTCAGTGAGTATCTACAATGTAGAGAGTAGTAAAAATAAAGAAAAACAATTAAATGAGAAGGTGTGTCCAGACTTTTGACTGGTAGTGTATGTTCTTCCCATGTGAGTAAGGGGGACTTGTATGTGCTAAATGTGGTATTTATACAGTTAGAATCAAATGCTACCTGCTAACCTTTACCTTTTAAATGCTGTACATTTTCTAAGCTTTGACTCTGACCTGTACATCACTACAACATCAAATATTCCATTTTTACCGATATTTATAACTGTAAAAAGAATTTTCCAGGCCTCAGTCCTCTATCCTGGCCCAATCCTAGACATGAGCTCAGTGAGTTATCTCAGGACTTTATATCACTGTGTTTTCAAAGCCAGATGGCATGTGCGTAACCTGTCGGTGGAAAATGATGTTTTTTTGAAGTCAATGTTGAGAACCCAGGGTGCCATTTTCTACTATCACTACTGGATCTAGTCTAGGAAAAACTGCAGACCTTGAATCTCGGTGCTGGAACAACATGTGAAGTACGTATGATATGATGTCCAGAATGTTTATGGCGCCGATCTAATTATTTCACTCTCACACTGTAAGTGTAGTCAATCATATGTGGAAATGGCAGTTTAACCAAGTGTAGCGTTTAAAGTTGAGTTGGATACAGTAATTATTCCACGTCGGTCCATCTATGCACAGCATCTGTCCGGATGATAAACGGATCTATAACCTGGCTGAGTAGAGTGCCAGATGCATACCATCAAAAAAGGTGAAGTCTTTGGCAAAGGTGACACTCTGCCTCTTCAAACACCACTGTTTTAAATGGCTAAACTGATACTTAGGTTGAACCATATTATCATTACTCATTACTGTCACTACTCAGTAATCTGGTACTATAAGTAATACCATTCAAAATAAGACGATCCTCTCTTGTGCAAGATTCTCCCCACATGATGTGCCCCCCCCCCCATCATCCATCCATCATCTGCTCTCCATTAGTGTTGAAATGGCTAATTCAGGCATTCCTTTTCAATTGATGTAAAATGTGAATTGAACAATGACAGATTATGAAAAGCAAATAACCAGTTGAGCAAATGATACATGTTAAACTTCAAAATGCAGCCCACAGGTGTGAAAGATCAAGTGTTTTCTAACCTCAGCTCGCTCCCGTCTTGCTGTTGTGGCGCAGCTTAAAAAACAGCCATCCGCAACAATAAATCGCAGCAGTGGCTGTAAATCCTTAAGGTGCTCATAAAAGGAAATACGCCTTTGTTTTCAACTTACCTTTCTTCTTAGGCAGCAGCTCCTGAGCTTAGCGTGGACCTGCTTGTTTGCCGACTCATTCCAGAGCCGACTGTAATGCACACGACGTTGATATATTAGTTTCAACAACACCGAAAGTGTTTTTTCCCCATTCGTATTAAGTCATGACCTAGATTTCCATGTTTTCCACTGTCTCTTCTTTTCTGGCTGTGTCAGATTGTCACGTTTTACATAGAAGAGGGAGTCATTCTCTCTCGAGCGTGCACTCCCTAATAAAGAATCCGAAGTCTTAAATCTGCGTGTTCCGAACTCTGCGGTGTTCTTTCCCAGTGAGTTGCGATTGATAATCCCTCTTTCATTCCTAGCCACCTTAATAGGAAATTCTCCCTGGCGACACAGCCTCTCTGTTGAGGCTATGAGGGCTGATGGAGTCTGGGAGGCCCGACACCAGCTGGGATGCTGCCACAGAGGAGAGTTGCTCCCCATTAGAATGTAATTTCAGACCTGGTGGAGGTAGAGGAGTGCCAACGTTGCTTTCCTCTTTCATTAGGCATTTCCTTTTCATATTAACACATCCAGCAATCTTTACTGCATACCGTATAAAGCCTACTGCGAGAGTAAACTACCTCATATATCGCAAATTATCTACTTGTACAATATTTGCACACGAGATTTTAATATCAATGCTTTGAGATTTGATATCACCGAACTTTTTCTGTGTCAGTCATTAGACTGTAATGACTGAATGGTACGCTATTAAGATATCCAAGCACATGTCCATGTATCGGTCCATAAAGCATAGGAAGATTGTTTTTTCAATGCACTGCATTCATCATTGCATTGCTACATGGTGAGTCATGGTGAGGCTTTAGTGGAAAAAGCAGTGTTTTCTTTGCCTCTGGTCATTTATGATGATAGGAAAAAGTTCAGGTAGCTACAAACCACTGAAGACCTGGAGTGAAAGGAAATAAAACACAACTTTAATCACTGTTTCCCTTGGACACTGTCAGTTTTGGGCTTATGACAGCACCGATCCCTTTGCATTCTTCACTCTGCTCCCCTTTTCTCAGGCTTCAGATGAAATAGCCTCGCTGTCATTAAAAACATCTGTTGGGTTGCGGAATTAATGTACAATACACCCTCCTACTGTACCACTGTGTGGTAATGCCTGCACCACCCACAGCTCGAAGCCAGCAGAGACGATTCTGTCATGAGAAGTAGCTGCTATTGGGTGTTCGGTGACATGGGTGTGTATGAGTTCTTTACATCAGAATTACATATGTCATCCTTTCAAATCTGGCTTTTTTTTGAATGTCTGGTTGCAATAAAAATTAACATTTTATGCTGTCATGGTTTTCAGTCTTGGTTTTCAATCAGTGTCACAGTTTATGTGCTCTGAAAGCCCCAAAAGCTTCTTCTGTATTTGAAGTGCAAGTCCAGCTGTGTTTTTGTTGTGCACCGGTCAGCTATATTTTGATGTAAGAGCATGAGGTCACTTAGTCACACTGTGTGGTTGCTGATGAGTGCCCATAATTCTAACTGTAACAAATGTTAAGTGGGAGACCAGAGTCCTGGGCAGAAAACGCCCTTTTGACTAACAGTTTGCAAACGTATCTTATTCAGTTCATTCATATAATTAAAGCTGTGGTAAAGATTCGTTTTTATATATATATATATATATATATATAAATATATATATACTGCTCAAAAATAGATAGAGAAACACTTTTCAGAGTATAGACTCCCGTTTGTTCAACTTCTGAGATATTGATGTGCTCAGTTAATAAACAAGGCATTGCTGTTAATTAGTTTAAGCTGCTTTTGTGTTAATGAAACCCCCCAAAACAGGGATTGTTTTACAGACCACTGAAATTTTTTACTTCCTCATCTTTTCTGATTGTTTTTTCACTAGTTGTGTTTTTGGCTAGGGTCAGTGTCACTACTGGTAGCATGAGGTGATGTCTGGATCCTACAGAGGTTACACAGGTAGCTTAGCTCCTGCAGAATGTCACATCAGTATGTGCCATTGGCAGAAGGTTTGCTGTGTCTTCCAGCACCGTCTCAAGAGCATGGATGAGATTAAAGACAGTTACTTTAGGAGAGCTGGACAGGGCTGTAGAAGGTCTTTAATCCATCAGGAGGACCGGTATCTGATCCTTTGTGCAAGGAGGAAAAGGATGAGTACTGCCAGTACTGAGTACTGCTTCTAATGGGGCCTGTGCTCGCTGATCAGTACTGTAAAGCCTGATTGGAATATGAAGTAGAATACCACGTTTGGGATTTTTATAGATGAGAGCAGGTTCACCCTGACCACATGTGACAGATGTGAAAGAGTCTGGAAAAGTCATGGAGAACGTTACGCTGCCTGTAACATCGTTTAGTACGGCCGATTTGGTGGTGAGTTAGTGACCGTCTGGGATATCCATGCAGGGATGCACAGATCTCTACAGGCTAGGCAACGGCACCCAGAATTATTCTTTTTAATGTTTTTTTTTCAGCTCTTCGCCCACCCCACAGGGTGCTGAGGATGTGTGTGGATTTTTTCCCCTGTTTTAATGCCAGACTGCCATTAAAACAGGATGAAGTCCTTTAACTGCCATCTCCAGCACTCCCACCTGTCTTTTTGTTAGTGTCTATAAATCATATACCATAGCAGGTCTCAGTGCCATGCTGGAAACCTTTCCTTTTGCTCCTGCTGCTATTCTTCTGTCACAAATCACCCCTGAGACTCCACCTGCATGCACTCTCTTCTTCACCTCTCTTTTGCACCCTCTGTTGCTTTGAATGGTTGATCCCAGATATTTAATCTCATCCACCTTCACTACCTTCACTGCGTGAATCTTCGCTGGTGCACCCCTCATTCACACGCATATCATTCCTCTTCTCTCCAGAGCATACCTTCACCTCCCCAGGCTCTCTTCCTACCTGCTCCCTACCCTAGCAATTTCATATGTAAATAATGAAAATGGGGAGCGTCTTTTCATAGCTAAATAGAGTGGAAATCAATAATAAAAATAAACATACTTTCACACTGCTTTTTAAATCCAAAAAAAGAAGACATATGCACATTTCCGCCTATCTGTCAACTCATAGTTTGAATCTTCACAGAGATTTAAGCATCATGTAGTACACTTTTAAAACAAAAACATAACTATTAGGTGAAAAATATTGTGTAAAATTATAATAAAAAATATGTTTCTTGTTAATAGTGATGACAGTTGGAAAACAAAAAGGACAATGTATCCTCAGAACTCAGGAAGAAACGGTCCTCCCTGGAATACGATGTCATGTCCCCGCT